GGAATGTCAGTTGCATATGGAATCTGCTGTATTCTGGTGGTGTGCAGGTCCCAGGTTCATGTTTTAAAAGCAGACTGACACTGTTTGCCCAAAGCCAGAGCACTCTCCCAGAGCCTCTTTCTAGATCCCGTTGCATTTATTTCCACAACGGGCCTTATTTCTAGTCCTCTATAATACAAATATTCCTGCTCTCTTTTAGTATGAATACCTTTCTTAATTCTTTAAAGAAAACATCCTGGTTCTGATTTGGTGCATAAGCTTTTCTTAAGGTTTCCCCTGACTCGAAAGTTAGTCAAATCCGACTCTAAGGGGCGGTGCTCATCTCCATTTCCAAGCCGAAGAGCCAGCGCTGTCCAAAGACTTCTCCGTGGGCATGTGGCTGGCATGACTTAATGCCAAGGCGCACGGAACGCTGTTACCTTCCCACCGAAGTGGTACCTATTTATCTGTTCACAATTTCTTGATTTCGAACTGCTAGGTTGGCAGGAGCTGGGACCAGAGACGGGAGTTCACTCCGTCATGCAGCACTCGGGTCTTGAACTGCCGAGCTACCGACCTTCCAGCCTGCAGCTCAGCGTCATAACCTCTGAGCCACTGCGGCCCAAGGTTTTCTTACCGATCTCATTTTAACACATGCACGGGTTAATGGTGGCATTATTCGTTCACAGAATTTAAATCCCACCTTCCTCCCAAACAGGGCCAGCCAAGTCATGATCAGAACATTACAAAACAACCATAAAAGCAATTTAAAACCAAAGGTAAAAAACACATACAAAAACATTTTAAAAACAACCATTTTAAAAAAAACAGGGCAGGAAGGAAGGATCAATGAGGAAACGCCAGACAAAACAAAAAAGTCTTCACCCGCCAGTGGAAGGCAGGGAAAGAAGGGGGCAGCCAAATAACCCAGGGGAGAGAGTTCTATTAATTTGGTGCCACAACCAAGAAGACCCTCCTGGGGCGCCTGAAGCAGGTAGAGTGGCCAACAGGTTGGGAAATTCCTGGAGATTTGGGATGGAGCCTCAGGACAAGGGGAGACGAGGGAACTCAGTGGGGCGTATTGCCATAGATTCCACCATCCAAAGCGTCTCAGAGCCAGTGTCCAGAGACCTGCCTGAAAAATACACTCGCCCTGATTTCAGCCGGAGGGAGCCATTTCAACAGACCAAAAGGTTCATAGTGTAAGAAGCGAATCATAGGTTCTCAAAGATTCAGGCAGGTCTCTTTAAAAACAATTCTGTTTTTTATATGTGTTTTCAAAGTTAGGCATTTGTGTAAATCTCTTTACAGTTCCACTTACACAGCTGGCAAACTGAAGAAGTTGAAGGAAACGAGTCTTCTAAGTATCTAGAACGGGTTCCTTTGCAAAGGCTGTTTGGACAATATTATGACTATGTGGACTCCTCCTATCAAGTTACACTGATTACAAGTTATAACCCTTATCTACAAAGGAGGAAATATTGTATCTTATGCAGAGGTCATTTCATAGAAAAAGAGGTGCAGGAGCTCATTAGCATAACTTATCTACATATGCCACGCCCCCTGACATCACCGGAAGTGTGTCAGAAGGCAACACCCACCGCTCAGGCTCCACTGGAATGTTTTGAATTGCTAGCTATTGGGGGGGGGACATGCAGATCTGTCCTCGCAGAGGAGGGAGAGCTTGTACCTGAATAAACCTTGGCCTTAAAGGTGCCACTGGACTGTTTTGGATTGCTATCCGGGGGAGGGGGAATGGGCTCTGCAACTTACCTGGCTGCTTCTTGCTCCTTGTGGCCTGGGGCTGCTGGGAGCAGGGGGCGGGGCTTGTTGCATGTGCCCACCCTCTGGGCTCTTTACTGCCGGAGCTCTGCTCCTGTGCGCTCCAGCAGGAAATGGTTACAGTATGCACTCATGTTGTTGTTGTGACACCACCAACTTTATAATTGTTTAATATATTGTTTGGCAATTTTGATGGTGTTTTCTACTAGTGGAATTTGTATATTTGGGACTTCTGTGACGCTAGTCTTTCCCCCCTTTTTTGGATCCACAACAGGTGAAGGCTCAGAGAGGTATTGGCCGATAGGAGCAAAGCGTCCTGGGAATTGTAGGCTGGCACCCTGCCCTGTGCTGCAGTTGCTGCTCTAACGGAGTGAAGATTGGAGGGTTGGAGAGGAAGGCCCAGGAGGGCTGAGAAGGGCCCGGCCGAGGATTTTTTGCCAAGATGCCTGCTGGAAGAGAGAGAAGAACTGTGACGGGGCCCCCCAGTGGGCCCAGAGATCTCCTGGAATTACAACTCCAGACCACAGACATCACTTCCCCTGGGAAAACCGGCTGCTCTGGAGGGTGGCCTCTATGGAACTATACTCCGCTGAGGTTCCTCTCCTCCCCAAACTCCACCCTCCCTAGGCTCCACCCCCAAATATCCAGGAATTCCCCGACCTGGAGCTGGAAACTGATCTGTGATCCCAGGACTAAGTTTTGCGGAAGGGCTGGAACAAACTTTCGACACGTTCGGTTGAATATTTGTGTGTGTGTGGGGGGGCTACCAAGGCACAAGAATTGTAAATATTTTATGGTGGAAGAACCACTCTGTGCTTTTGCTGGAGGGAGGCGCCTTCAAGTTTGGTTGGTCAGAGTGGCTGCATACAATCCCTGGTTCCCATATTGCAGATGGGAGAGACTGGTTTGGTGTCGTGGTTAAGTGCGCGGACTCTAATCTGGGAGAGCCGGGTTTGATTCCCCACTCCTCCACTTGCCCCTGGCTGGATGACCTTGGGCAAGCCGTAGTTCTGATAAGAGCTGTTCTTGAAAAAGAGCCGTTTCTGTCAAGAGCTCTCTCAGCCCCACCCACCTCACAGGATGTCTGTTATGGGAAGGGGAAGGGAAAGGAGTTTGTGAGCCGCTCTGAGACTCCTTTGGGTAGTGAAGAGCGGGGGATAAATCCAATCTCTTCTTCTTCTTCTTTTACCTCACAGGGTGCCTGTTGTGGGGAGGGGAAGGGAAAGGAGGTTGTAAGCTGCTCTGAGACTCCGTTGGGTAGTGAAGTAAGTGTATTGGTAAGGTTTCTTGTTCCTCCATGGTTTACACATCCCAAAATTAACTTTATAACCCTCACAATTACAAAAGAGAATCAGTGAGTGCTAGAGAGTGCTGAAAAACCAATGACAATCCTGAGATATAGCAATTACACATTTGGTGACTGCTGTTACTTTCTCATTTATAACACTCAAAGATACCTTTAAATCTTACTACTAAGAGGTAATGTCATCTCTTTTCTTCTTCCCCACTCCCAGCACCCTCAGTTATTTATGCACTTCTTTACAATGTTCCCCCAAGAGCACTACTGTCAGGGCCCCAAAATTTGTTGGTCATCCCGGGCCCCAAGGATGCTAAACTAGCTGCGACCAGGGCCAGGGCTTTTTCGGTGGCGGCTCCTACCTGGTGGAACGAGCTCCCAGGGGAGATCCGGGCCCTGCGGGACCTTATGCAGTTCCGCAGGCCCCCCCCCGAAATCCAATCTCTTCTTCTTCTTAAAGAGTTGGGGGATGAGAGTATGGCTGCCAATCCCCAGGTGGGGCCGGGAGATCTGGAATTACAGCTGATTTCTGGCCAAAGAGAAAGTGGCTGTTTTGGAGGATGGAGTCGATGGTATGATACCAGCCCTGCCCTCCCCAGACTCCACTGCCAAATGCCTCAGGACACATTTATGTTTTCCCTGGTCCTCCTGGGTCTGAACAATCAAAGGTTTGGGGAATCTGGACTTCCAGGCTCCACAGAAATCAGTTAGTCTTTCAGGTGCTCCTGGGTTCTTTTCTACTGCCCATCTTGACCTACTTCACAGGACTGTTGTGAGGATGAGACACAGAAGAAGAGTGACATCAGCCACTTTGGAGCAGTAGAAAAGGCCAAGTGTCCAGGAGCACCTGAGAGACTAACCAAATTCCTGGCAGGGGAGGAGCTTTCGGGAGTCACTGCTCACAGGGCTCTTTTTGTAGAAAAAGCCCAGCAGGAACTCATTAGCATAATAGGCCACACCCAACAGCAGAAGCTCATTAGCATATTAGGCCACACCCCTGACAGCACAGCTCATTGGCATATTAGGCCACTCCCCCATGTTGCCAGAAGTGTGGTCATCCAGCCACACCCACCTTTGCTTCTTATTCTGTTTACCTTGCTTGTTGTCCAAACCCAGGGCTTTTTTGTAGCAGGAACTCCTTTGCATGTTAGGCCACACGCCCCTAATGTAGCCAATTGGAATGAGTTCCTGCTGTTGGGTGTGGCCTATTATGCTAATGTATTCCTGCTAGGCTTTTTCTACAAAAAGAGCCCAGCCCTAATGAGATTTAATGTCTCTCCCTCTTCTTCTTATGTCCTTGCACCAAACGCTCCGTCCCTCCACCCGCAGCTCAAAGGGAAGAAAAGCCAGCTTAGAATAAATCGCTCTCTGACAAACCCAAGATAAGATGTTAATCCATAGAGTTATAAAAACCCCACTTGAAGCGCATGCTCTGGAGCCATCCTTCCTGAGCGGAGACACAAATGTGTGAGCTGGAGGCTAAAAAACTCTGAGCTAGCTCACACTAACTCAGCTTAGAGGGAACACCGGTCCCTATTGGAGAGGAAATAAAAGGAATAATTTGCAGGGGGGAATCGGTAAAGGCCGGCCAGAGCCACTGCCCCCTTCAGAGGGTGGTGCCCAGGCCCGTAGCTAACATGGGGCCCACGGGGCCCGGCCCCCTTGTGTTTCTTCTGGGGCCCCTCCCTCTGGGGCTGCCCCCCAAGTGCTCCAACTTACCACCTGCACTGTACTTCCATTTAATTAGCTGGCAGGCCCCCCAAGGCCCCCTCCCAAAGAATTCCCTAGCTACGGGGCTGCTGTGGAGCCATGTGGGTGCCCATGGCTGTGCCATTGAAGGGGCGCGCATCCAGCAGGGGCCGCTCTCCGGCCGCCGCGGACTTCCCCACCTCCGCCTCTTCCTCCTCCTCCACACCCAGCCGGGGCCAGACCACCAGAGCCAGGCAAGTCAAGCGGCAGCGCCAGTGCCGGGGCGAGCGCGCTCGGCGAGGCAGGCAGGAGGCCGGAGCCGTCGAACGCGCCGGGGGTCTGGCTGACTGGCGAGGCGCAGCCATGCAGCGGTCCGCGTGGGACGAGGAGAGCGAGCTGCGGGAGCTGAACGGCCGCCTGGGCGACTACGTGCGGCGGGTGCGGGCGCTGGAGGGGGAGAACCGGCGCCTGGCGCAGGAGCTGGCGGCGCTGCGCGGGCAGGAGCGCCGCGCCGGCCGGCTGGAGGAGGACGAGGAGGAGGTGGCCGAGCTGCGGCTGGCGGTGG